GGAGGCGGACGCGGAGGTCGGGCGGGGCGCGGCGCGGGACCGGCGGAACACCCCCAGGTCAGAACACCCCACGCCGCGCGGCCCATGTGAACAGGTGAGCGATCAAAGGCATCACGCTCCCTATCCACACCCCGCCCCGCCCCGCCCCGCCACCCCGAATCACGGGATGGAGCGGATGGAGTGGGATGACACGCAATGACAAGGCACGCGGGGCTCCGCGACAACTCCAGTGGGGTGTGCGGGCGGGGCCAGCTTGCTCGCTCGCGCCCCAAAAGCCAAAATGATATGCGAGGAGGAAATTTGGAGGTAATGGCCGGGCAGAGGTGGGGTGTGCGGGCGGGGCGGGGTAGGGGTGGGGCAGGGCGGAGCAGGGCGGAGCCAGACGAGAGCGATGAAGTTACATGGCAGCATGTCGATTCCCAAGCGCGCGACAGTATCTCTCTCTACCCTCTCTCGCTCTGTCTCCCTCTCTCTCGCTCTTTCTGTCTCTATCTTTATCTGTTCCGCTCCTTTGTCGTGTCGCGTACCGAAGGTGCTCTCTGCCTGCTGCCGGCTTGTTACCGGAACTCGGGGTCAGAGGCACCCCAAACGAGGAGCTCGGTGTCCTCGGCCCTCCTCTCCGCCCTACAGAGCCAGCACAGCACACCATATTCCTTACTGCCGGTTCTCTCGACCCTCCCCTCGCGTCGCGGAAGAGCGGGAGACGCGCGGGAGAGAGAGGGGCGGGACCCGCTTCTCCGCCCCCTCCTCCCCCCTTCCCCTCGACCCCGAGCAGCTCGCCTCGCCTGCGCCTCGCCTTTTCATTCCTTTCCGACGCGGGAGCAGCCGGGAAGAAGAAGACGACTTTTTGCGTTATTTTCTTATTCTTTTATTTTCCGGGGGCTTCTTCTTCTCTTCCGCGAGATCTCAAAGCGCCGCCCCACGCGGCCCCGGGCCCGGGCCCCGCCGCCGCTCCGAGCTGGCTTGCTTCTCTCGGGGCTCGGCTCGCTGCTCGATCACTAAATCAGACGGCAGCGGCAGCGTAGGAGAGAGAGAGGAGTGAGGAGAGACAACACGGTGAGACGGCGAGGATGACTTAGAAGGCAGCCCCCCCACCCCCTTCTCCAGAAGGAATTGAAGGATTTCTCTTTCAGGAAGGAAGGAGGCTTTCTCGCTTGTAATAAAATAAGATACGTTATCCCGGACGTCAGGAAGGGCGATCGGAGAGCTCCCTGGTTTGAGCTCCCACATTTTAAAAGACAAAACACGGTAATTTTTTTTAGTATTATTTTTTGGGGGGTGGGGGGAGGAATTTATCCGCGAGTTTGCCCTCAGAACTGTGGAACAAACCGCGGAGCTCTCCGATCGCACCACCCTCCAGCGCGCCTGCCGCCGCCGCCGCCTCGCGCTGTGCGCCTGTGGCCGGCGGGGTAGGCAACCCAACGCCCAGCCGCGTCCCGCGCTGCCTACCTCCCGGGCGGCCCCGGCCGCGAGGGGGTTGCAGCGCCACCGCCCCCGCGCCGCCCCCG